GGCGCGAAGTGCCTCCCGCCTGCAAGTCATCCGCTAATTCCGGGCGCCGAATAAGCCGCGCTCCTCGCGGGCACTCGCGCCCACCAGGTGCCACACGCCCCCTGCTGCGGTGGAGGGTGGTGGGTCTACTATATACACCCGAGGTCTACTGTATGGCTCATTGTCTTACTAATAATGCACACATAAGAATAATTTCCGCCCACTAAGCGTGACGATTTGCTCTTCCTACTTCTTATGTAAATGGATGATTAAGTGTAGTAGTTTTTATTAATACTTAATAAATACAAACATCATAAAATAAGAAAGACAACTCATTTATGCGAGTCACTTAGGCCATACTTAGTCATTCGTTTAAATACGAAGTAGGAAGAGCGAACATCACGTTTAGTAGACAGACATTCATTTTTATTATACCTACTGTTACCATTCACCACAAACATGATAAGCCTTAATGACGCACCAATTTTCCTCCAAAAGCCTGCACAATTAACACACATTCACACTGAGAAATTTCCCTTCTAGAAATATGTTAGGGAGAAGATCCAATAATATTTCTGGTGGGAAGATAGGACGACGATAGCACTGATCACTTTCATTGAAGGTCTATGAGGAAATAACTCAAGGCACTGACGAAATTGCATAGGGTGAAACAGCACAAAAAGGAATAACTCCAAAGAACACGTTTACTTAAAACATTTCCAGATAAATCTGACGTTGAAATACTTAACCCCTTCATTTCATTATCATACGAGTATTAATAAAAATATTTCAATTTTAAAAGAAAGGGAGCATTAGAGCAAATCAAAGAAAAATATACAGCGCAAATCAAGAGCATGTGAAACATTAAAATACGCAAAGAAACAGACACATTCTTCTTGGGTAAAACCTGGAAGATTATGTTACAACCTCTCCTTGAGAAAATTCTTTTAAAGCAGAACTTTCGAAACAGAAATAAACCCAGGCGAAGAGAAGCATTGTGTGAAAGAGTATCTCATTACTGGAGAAAGATCAAATATCCAAGGATTTTAAACAATATATTAGTCAGTTGCTATTCAGCATTCAATCCAACGAGAATCCCTAATCATAGGACGGTCATACTCTACTCTGGAAAGGTTACAGATGTATGGTAAATGTGCTCCATCCGAAGAGGATGGCGCAGTCGGAGATTGTGTACACGCGAATTTGTGAATGAGCATTTTTAAGAACACACTCACAGGCGTTGTAAAGCGTGAAAACTCTGGCCGTTGATGTGAGCTCGTTGCTGGCGGTGCGGTGCACTGATTATATTCCCACACTCGAAATCAAATAAGCGAGGCGACCACACTTAAATCGCTGAGCTCAGCCATCTCTTCCGAATATAAACGACTGCCGCACAGACTGACGGGTCTATCTCGATTGCTCATGCATTTTTATGAACTGTGAATAGTCACAGAACCATGGACCAATCGGGTTCTAAAAATAACTCGATTCATATAAAAAAATTTAAACAATGAACCATAATCACAATAACATCAGTCAAAATTGTTGCATTTCAACAGTTTGCGAAGTTTAGAAATATAACTGAACATAAAACGCTATAGTTAAAAATGATATAATAATTAAAAAGGGTTCTAAGCAAATATTCCATTTCACTGAAAACTTAAACGTACTGGCATTTAATAACTTAATTAAAACTACTTATAATTAACCAAAACATCATAATTAACCAATGACATTTAATGATAAAATTATACATTTCGTATTTAGGTTAACATGTTATGTTCCACAGACGCACTCGTTTAAATCCACATCAAAACACGAACTCCTCCGTGACTCTCCCTCACGGAGCTCCGATTTCCTCGCACCAGCACGCACTCTAGCGCCGCGCCGTCTTACCTGCCGGCATCCGCCATCGCGCAGCGCGCCCTAGCGGTCAGGTAGCGCCCGCGGCCGCCGCCGCCAACGCACGTCGCCGACTGGCGGCTTTCGCGTCCGATTGACAGTCGAGCGCGGCGCGGCGCGGCGCGAAGCGCTTCCGGCTCGTCATTTCCGGCGCCGCGCGGGCGGGAGGGCAGCTCACCTGTCCGTGCACTGGCAGCGCGTCCC